AGACACATATGCAACAATTAGGTATCTTTATTTCGAAACGTTTCGCCTACACAGTAGGCTTCTTCAGTCGAGTACAGAAAAGTTGATAGAAGCAGAAGATACTTGAAGACGATGTAATCAGTCCATCACCCTTAAAGTTTTGAGGTGGTCAGTCCCTCAGTCTGGAGAAGAGCATTGTTCCGTAGTCTGAAACAATGTTTCAGACTGTCACTTCATCTCCATATTGTTTCATACTATGGAACAATGCTCTTCTCCAGACTGAGGGACTGACCACCTCAAAACTTTAAGGGTGATGGACTGATTACATCGTCTTCAAGTCTCTTCTGCTTCTATCAACTTTTCTGTACTCGACTGAAGAAGCCTACTGTGTAGGCGAAACGTTTCGAAATAAAGATACCTAACTGTTTTATATGTGTCTTACCTAACAATCTGTCGGTATTTTATACCATTTTAATGTTCCAATACAGAAAGTAGGCAGGAACAGTAGAGATGTGAAGACGATGTAATCAAGCGAAACGTTTCGGAATAAAGTTGCCTAACTGTTGCCTATGTGTATATCCATGTTTCGTACGTCTACATGAACAACTTTCCAAAGAATTTGCCCCTTCAAGGAGGTTCCTTGACGCTGGTGAGGGGCTTTTGATCTAGGGTGTGGAAAAAAACTGTACATATTTTCCGGAAATACGGTAATTCATAGGTAAATAGATGCCCTATATTGTATTTTTAAAAGAAGTATGTTATCGAAAAAAAGAGGAGACACTCGCCATCTTGGTTTTTTGAATTTTGTATTAGAAACGTTGGTGAACGGGGAAGAATTTTTCGTGCTCTAGAGGTTAAAATTGTGCTGACACCTCTCAAATAGGAGGCGAAATTGGTGGATATGCATTCCTGCATAACTTGAGATATCAGGCGACTGGACAAGACCTCTCCAGGAACCTCAGATAAGCTCTCTAGATTTGTGTGTAATTCTGGCCAGCATTATTTTCATAGATTTAGTTAGAGTGAGGTTTTCTGAGTATGATACACATTAATCTCCAGTCAAATTGGTGAGTGATATTAAGATATATTTTCCTTCTGTTATGCAATTGTGTATATATATAACCATTTATTATTTTTAATATACAGTCTACAAATTTATATATTTACCAGTATGCCTGGTGTATGTATATTTCATTTAATTAATAGGTCCAGAGCAACTTATGGTTATGACAGTTGTAGGTATCGAAGGGGGACATTTTTTGCGACCTAGGTGTCCCAAATTCCTACTTGTCTAACTGATAAATAATAATTATCTGTGTTCATTTATTGTTATGTACATAATTATACATACAGATAAATGTAATTTTCCACATAGGGAATTGGATCTGTGCTCCGGTTCCCTGAATTGAGCCTGAATAGCATCCCCCCCACGTGCGCTGTATAATCATACGGGTTTAGCGCTCCCCCATGATTATGATAATCCAAAGAATTTGATATATCCGTAAAATGCGTACCCGCTACTCTATGTGTTTCGTATCGACAGGATTTGTAAACAAACTGCGGATCTTATACATTTTAGTAGCATTGGATACAGCTGTAGTGTACAGTTATCGTAATTTACGACGTTTAACAGTATTAGAGCAGGAACTATTTTATTCACCTTGCCATCATGGAAGATGGTGCTAGGTAAGGGCTGGGTCGGAAAGAATGTAGTAATTCCACCTCTCGTCTTGAGGTCCCGTTAGTTCTATTCAGGACGCAGCACGTTGCCAGTCTTTCTTGTTTTTGAGTAGTATATATATTTTTTACTTCCTAATGTGTGCCGGTGAACACGAGTGAGCACCAAATATGCCTGAATTCATGTCCCCTTTAGATAAACAGTGAACACATCGTGAGCATCCATGATCCCGCAATAAATAAAAGTCTCATACTGTCAACAGTATACTCCACTAGTGAAAATTGTTTCACACGTCATGGAAGGCTTTATAGTTCTGTCAAGCAAAGAGGAGCTGTAAGGTTAATGGTAGCACCAGCGTGTGGTAGTGGTCGTATTTTCTTTGTCAAGGGAAAATTTTTACATCGTCTTCAAGTCTCTTCTGCTTCTATCAACTTTTCTGTACTCGACTGAAGAAGCCTACTGTGTAGGCGAAACGTTTCGAAATAAAGATACCTAACTGTTGCATATGTGTCTTACCTAACAACCTGTCGGTATTTTATATCACTTTAATGTTCAGCCTTAGAGTGGTCAGAAAATGCAACGACCTGAATAGTGAAGGCTCCCTTTCTTAGACTGAATCTAAAGTCTTTCCATTTTCCTAAGCGCTGTATAAACCCTACGGGCTTAGTGCTCCCCATAAATGTAATAACAGTGTGGAGTGATAGAGACAGGATCTAAACGCAAATTTAGGAAGTGGTATGATGCGATAAGGCTCTCGACGTCAGGGGAGGGTGAATCTAGTAGCGGCCAGTGAAGAGGAGAGTCCAGGAGCTAAGGCTCGACCCCTGCAAACCACATATAGGTAAGTATATAGGTAAATGCACACACACACACACACACACACACACACGTCGATAGACAAGTACCTTTGGTAACTGATCACTAACGTGCACATGGAGGGTTCAACAACTTTAAAGCACTATTAGGATATGGCGCAACCTGCTTCGGTAGCGTTTGTCTAGCAGTACCTGCAAGAGGCGGCATATCGCTAGCTTCGTAATCAGAGCAGTACGCAAGTTTCCTAGAGCAGGTAACTTAATCCAACTGCCCTATCAATATATGAACCACCGAGGCAGGCTCGAGAAGGTGTCACTGATAACGAGAAAGGTTGCGCACAAGTCTGCGGAAAAATTGAAAGCACCAGAGTTATAGCAATGAGAAAAATCGTCAGTGGGCAATCAGAATAATCACCAGCAGGTAATCAGAATAATCACCATGCACGTAATGCTATCCGTGCTGCCTTGCAGCACAGATAGCATTACCCGCATTTCTATCTTCGTACACTGATTCTAGCAAACTAGTGAAGGAGATAATCCCAGAAACCTTCAAAGGTTCTGTAGGAATTTCCGACCCAAAGTTGATTGAAACAGCAGGGCAGTGGGATCTCCTTGCAGATTTATAAAGCCATAGCTCGATCGCTAGCACACTCAGCTCACACTGAGGTTCGGAGTTCGAATCTCCGGTACGGCTGGAAAACATTAGGACGTGTTTTCATGAGGCATTTGCTGTTGCTGTTTACCTATCAGTATAAAATAGGTACCTGGGTGTTAGTCGACTGGTGTGTATGCGGCAGCAGAGTGTCTCTGCTATAAGGGTGAGAATGGTAAGTTCAGCTTTATGGATTTTGCCTGCGACCATCGGTCACACATACCATGGCTTCATACACAGTTCTCACAAAGGTACTACACAGGCTGTACCGTGGTACCACAGACAACTTGTTTTTATTAGATTTTCTATCGAGCTAGTATATCATGTTTAAGTTGAGAAAAAAAATCATTAATTAGTTAACTTTTCCTACATTTTTTAATTAGTATTTAATAGTTTAATCAAGGTTGCATGTTTTCTGTGAACTGCTAAACACTATTTTAGATTTTACCGTTTCACCAAAGTCATGAAATGTCAGTATCTTGGTAGACAACTGCCTCGTCACTAACTGTTTGTGAAACCTGTTCTTGGTCAAGAATTGTTTTTGTTCTCCTACTGTGGGGAAGTTACACTGACCTCCAAACTAGCATTTTCACGAGCACCGTTTGGTTAATAGAAAGTTTTAAAGTGGAAGGAGCATATTTCTTCATGTTTAGTTTAAAAAGTTATAATATTTTGTATGCATTCCATAATGGTATCCGACTAGACTAATGTCACATTCGTGTTATTTAGTTTACCGCTTTTTAACATGCTGACGTGTGTTAATTTCTGAAGATAAGCGACGGGTAAAATTCAGTGTTGATTAGGGTATTCATATTTAATATGATATCCTAGCAGTTTGTCTTTGATGGTGGACAGTGCAAGTGCGTAATAACTGAAATGCAGTGAGAAGGACTACCACTTCTTTTATACACTTTAAATGCTAATGTAAAAGAAGCGTGCGGAGAGTAAAACAAACTTTAGAATATATTTCAGAAAGAATAAGAAGCCATTCCTAAGGGTATCAATCATGAAGGGTTATAAAATCAGAATAACCTAGCAGTTAGGCTTATCTAACTTTTGGTTCTCTCCTAGAATGCCACCTACAAGAGTCAACTAAATCCTAGGTATGTTTTATTGCTAGGTGAAGATGAGTAGCAAGTACAGTGTGCCACCTGTCTCACTTCAGTGGTGCGAATTGTGGTTCATCACACCAGCCTGAACTGTACCCTCTGACACGAATAAAAAAAAAACGAAATAACAAAAAGAGAGACTTGCTCCTAAGCCTCGTCGAATATGGAAAACTAACCAGCATCATTTCGGTTATGAGTGTAAGTAATAAGTAATACATTGAACTACTCGAACAAATGACGAAAGTCTTGGCCCACGACATGTACCTTTGACGTAATTTCTCCAAAATTAAGTAAATTCTTTACTAAATTTCAACAATTGATTTATCGGCTTTATAAGCATTACTAAAAGATATTAATTTTGGTTTGTAAGTACCATTAATCAGAATGGTATTTCGTGAGTATTATAGTGGTTAAAGCCTTTTTTTCTAGAGGAGATATCGATTTTTAGAGATAACTCCCTTTACGTGCAAGTTCTGAGCATCGAGTGTGCCTTATTACGTAAATGCAGTATAAAGTCTGGATCATGGATATAGAACAAATATACCACAATATTTTATTTTGTTGACTATTTAAGAAGTTTATGTAAGTGCTTATTTCATCTTGTGGGGAGTGAGGCCTAGCTCTTGATCCTACCGTTTAACTTTTCACCAACTGATGTAAATAGGCTTGACATCTCTCTTTTTTTTAACTCTCCTATATTGTTATAAAATATTTATTTTCCAATGTATATATATTTCTATAATGATGAGGACTTCTTATCCTGCCAGAGTGAGCAGTTTATTAATGAGCAGCTGGTGGTACAGAAGCAGAGAACAACACTGCTGGCTGAGACCTGCCTTAAGCACCCTGAAGTCTCCATACGTCAGTATATGAACCTAGTGTGGGACACTGCTAGAGTACCTCCACTCATCTACTGTCCTATATACAAGGTTAGTTGTGCTTAATTTTGTCTGCAGACATTGTGTAAATTTCTTATAGAATACTACGTTTATTTACTGACCATTGGACACTGACCTACTTAGTTTTCGAAATTGTTCTTGTTGTGTTTATTCTTGATATAAAGATACTGAAGGTGCTGCAGTTTAGTACCAAATTGGTAGGATAATATGTTTCAAAAACATACAGAATGGTTCTTATAAATATCTGTGTAATCAGTGAATCTCTCATTTACGCAAGGTCAATTATTACAGTTGTCAAAAAAAAGCGAAAAAGCAGAAAGCTCTGACGAGGAATACATGTATATAGAACTTAACTGTAGTGGAGGATTTATATATTATAAGATACGTACAGTGTTTTTTAAACGTTTCCTCGAATACGTTTTTTCTCACTTGCTGGACGAAACGTTCTGGCAGAAGTTTCCAAACGTTACACTTATGTCTAATTTATATATTTGTGAATATTATATACCTTCTGTGATATACGGTATTGTATACTTTGTGTGATACAAGGTAGTATATACTTTGTGTGATACACGGTATCATATACTTTGTGTGGTACACGGTATCATATACTTTGTGTGATATAAGGTGTTATATACTTTGTGCGATACAAGGTATTATATACTTTGTGTGAAACAAGGATATACTAAACAACCTTAAGAAATGTCACTTGGACAGAAGACTGGAAACAGTCATAGGTGAACTTAGATAACTGTTGAATGTAATTAATGTAATACACTTGTGGAAAATTGCATTTATCTGAATGTAACTAATTATGTACATAACAGTAAATGATAACAAAGATAATTATTATTTATCAATGTTACATAGACAAGTAGGAATTTGGGACACCTAGGTCGCAAAAAATGTCCCCCTTCGATACCTACCACTGTCATAACTACAAGTTTCTCTGGACCTATTAATTAAATGAAATATACATACACCAGGAATACTGGTAAATATATAAATTTGTGGACTGTATATTAAAAATAATAAATGGTTATATATATATATATATACACAATTACATAACAGAAGGAAAATATATCTTAATATCACTCACCAATTTGACTGGAGATTAATGTGTATTGTACCCAGAAAACCTCACTGTCTAAATTTATGAAATTACTGGCCAGAATTAAACATAAACAGACTTATCTGAGGTTCCTGGAGCTGTCTTGTCCAGTCGCCTGATACTCAAATTATTCAGGAATGCACATCCAACATTTTCGCCTCCTATTTGAGAGGTGTCAGCCCAATTTTAACCTCTAGAGCACGAAAAATTCTTCCCATTCACTCTAACGTTCTATTCAATTCAAAACCAAGATGGCGACTCTCGTCTGCGCAGACGCAGGCTTTCCGTTTTCTATGACATAAATATTATTAAATACAGTATGGCCATCTATTTACATATAAATACTGAATTTCTGGAAAATATATACAGTAATTTCCACAACACTCATATGAAACTTTAACCCGCGTAATTCACTTAGGACTTGGAGTGGAGTTCTCCCCAATGGCAGTAAGTCGCTTTGTATGACTTTGGGTTATCCTAGGTAACTTACACATGTTACTATGGATGACAATTTGTGTAACTGTATTTATGTGTACTTGTTTAGGACACGTATTTCCTGATGCGTGTTTTAGTCATATGATAACCCTCAACTGGATCTTTTGGTCATCTGCCCGACGCCTTCTGCTGGCTTACCGGTCCACCTTTTCAAAAATATGGTTACGCTTAAAACCATTTCTGAAGCAACACTGCCAAGTGGACATGAGTAGTAAGTGCAAGGAGACTAGCATGTCATACAAGTGGCATAAAGCAAGAATAAATGGAAGCAAGTGATACGGAATAAACAAATAATTGCCATATTTTTGACATATCCCATGCATTTTTGATGAACTTTGTTTCTTTCTCTAGGTTTAAATTGCACATCAAGTTATCATTTTTCTTGTATAATATACAGGTAGCATCAACTACATGGATGGTGTACTTCCTTCGCCTGAGGCATATAAATGACCGGGTCCCAGAGCTGGAGCAATATGATGAGCAGACGCAAGAACAACTGAAATATATGGTAACAATAACATATTTTTTAAACATTCAGAGTATTATTACATTCATAGGGAAGCGCTAAATCCGGTAGGGGCCATACAACGCCCACGGGAAATAGAAATCAGTCATGTTCGATCCAAGAAAAGGGTGGTCAAGTCCTGTTCCTAGGATCAAGAGTCCCCTCACCGGCGTCAACGAATCTCCGTTGAGTGGGAAGCCTATTAAAAACAAGGTAAAGTTTGTCGCCAATAAGACTAGCATCAGTTGTATCGTCTTATGTGTAAAATGTATTTTAAACATTGAGGGGAGGTATGCTTTGAGTATGGCGAATGGCTCTTGATTCAAGGAACTGGAGTTACCTTTTCCCTTCCTCGGATCAAACTAGATTATTTTCTATTTCCCAGGAGTATGACCCCTTACGGGTTTAGTGTTTCATATTACTATTTAATACATTATATATATTTTGTTAATTGGCTCATAAAATAGTCCTGATTTCGTTTTTCTTTTAACGAAATTGAAATGATGTAAGTAAGGCTGCCGTTGGTTACTTTATGAAGTGCAAAAGAGTGATAATTGTCTGCAAACAGTCCGGGTTGAATTCTGCAATTCAAATTTTATATGATCATTCAATTATAAGTCATTTAATCATTGAAATATTATTCCTTTTTCTTTCAAATAATACTTAATATAAACTATTTTACTAACAGGCTAAATGACCTACTTTGGTTGAGTGCTTTAGGAAATTTAATATAATAATAATAATAATAATAATTGTCAGCATAAGCTAAATTTACCCCAGGAGTGTGTATATCTCGGTGTATGTACAGAGTGTACTTCCTGTATTAAGGATTAAATAATATTTTTATTGATGGGATACAGGTGATATGCAGCCTTAATAACACTCAAGTAGTAGGTAGTTTTCAAAATTAAAATAAATAAGAATTCTTAATTGAAAAACTGTAATTTGATATTGGTACACACTATTGACAGGTAGACGAGTTAGACACGTGTGTAAGAGTTAGATATTTTTATTTATGAAAAATATCTTTATTTCCGAGAAATCAAGATATTTGGTTACACGTGTCTTACTCATCTACTGTGTGATTTAGCTTAAGGTTACTACATTCATTTACTGCTGTAGCTTTACATTCAAAGAAGTAACGTAATGTACTTTCTCAGCCACGCTATGGAGGTGGTCATCAGCGGGTGTTCAAAGAATACAAACAGCCCAAGACAAGCGAGGAAAAAAATTACGTTTTTAAGAAAGCTCTCCGCTTCATCGTGGTCCGTCATCCATTCACTAGGTATATTATCGTTATTTTTTTTTTTTTTTGAGATGCTTGATACTGGTAAATGACTTTTGGTCCAAACAACTGGCACCACCCTCCATTTCCTCAAATCAAGGTGATTCGTGTCTCATTACAGGTGATATAAAGCGTATAAATAGGGGTTTGGCATTTTACCCTTATTATAATATTATTTGATTGTTGGTACTAATACCGAAAAAAGTTAATATACAACTTGAGCAGACATTTACTAGAGTAGTGTGTCATTCACAGGAGGTTTTGTCAAGCTAATGCAATATATACATCCTGTGGAAAATTGCATTTATCTGAATGTAACTAATTATGTACATAACAGTAAATGATAACAAAGATAATTATTATTTATCAATGTTACATAGACAAGTAGGAATTTGGGACACTTAGGTCGCAAAAAATGTCCCCCTTCGATACCTACCACTGTCATAACCACAAGTTGCTCTGGACCTATTAATTAAATGAAATATACATACACCAGGAATACTGGTAAATATATAAATTTGTGGACTGTATATTAAAAATAATAAATGGTTATGTATATACACAATTACATAACAGAAGGAAAATATATCTTAATATCACTCACCAATTTGACTGGAGATTAACGTGTATCATACTCAGAAAACCTCACTCTAACTAAATCTATGAAAATAATGCTGGCCAGAATTACACACAAATCTAGAGAGCTTATCTGAGGTTCCTGGAGCTGTCTTGTCTAGTCGTCTGATATCTCAAGTTATGCAGGAATGCACATCCACCAATTTCGCCTCCTATTTGAGAGGTGTCAACACAATTTTAACCTCTAGAGCATGAAAAATTCTTCCCATTACACCAACGTTTGTACAAATTTCAAAACCAAGATGGCGAGTCTCGTCTGCGCAGACGAAGGCTTTTCGTTTTCTATGACATAAATGTTATTAAATACAGTATGGCCATCTATTTACATGTAAATACTGAATTTCTGGAAAATATATACAGTATTTTCCACACATCCTGTATGACTATCTCTTAGTAATGATTCTTCTTAATTGTCTATCATCCTCGTACTCCCACCCTGCATGATGGGGTTACGAGAGAAAGACCATCTTATATGACTGGTATGTTAGGCAAACAGTTCTTGCTCTAACCTCATAAAACACTACATACATCTTGGTTGCCGAACATAGCTTTTGTACTAATATCGATATTAAAAACAAAACATGTATTAATGCGAGACTTTGGTCACAGGATATTGTCGGTATATAGAGGCAAGATTGAGAGAAAAGAACCTCGACCTTTTGCACCTTACTTCAAGCATCTTCAACGAGCAATTATTAAGAGGTACCGGCCACCAGACACACACCTCACTTCGCCTACGCCAACCTTCTCAGAATTCGTCGACTATGTCATTGATTCTACCAAGAATTTCAAGACTGCTGCGGATTGGGAGAAAAATGTGCGTTTTCCTAGAAAAGAAGTATATTTTCCTTAAAAATGCAAAGAAAATTTATTACCCATTTACTTGTAATTACATTTTTTAAATGAAATATATATATATATATATATATATATATATATATATATATATATATATTATATATATATATATTATATATATATATATATATATATATATTATATATATAATATATTATATATATATATATATATATATATATTATATATATATATATATATATATATATATATATATATACACACATTCATTCATAATACAGATGAGTATATTTTCTTCTCAGGTTGTATGCTGGACACCATACTGGGTACAGTGTGGTGTATGCGCCTCAGATTACCAGGTCATTATTAAGTTGGAAACAATGACTACCGATGAAGAGTTCTTGGCACAAATTGCAAACCTGAAGGAGATTCAGAATCTTCACGAGTGGAGGAATTTGAGGAACTCACCAGCCACTTCAACTGCTACACAATCTCGGTATTTTAAAAGCTTAACCAAAAGACAAATTCTGTTACTCTTTCAACGATATCAACTTGACTTTGAACTTTTTGGGTATTCAGCTGATGAGTATCTGAATTTCAGTGAACAAGACTAAATATAAAACATTTTGGTTTAAGTAACTAATATACTGGCGAACAGTAGAATATGAAATTTTAAAAATGTGGGAAGACAAAGTACTTAAACTTTAACCTTACCTAGAACATCAACCTTGATTTTGTGAAGAACAAAAAAGCACAATATCTTGACTGGAACAATACATAAATAACCCCCACACAGACAGAAGCTTATGACAACTTTTCGGTCCGACTTGGACCATTTACTAGTAACACAAACGCACAAAGGTAAAGGAGCCAGTATTATATATACATGAAAGGAGGACAATGACATATATACTGCCTGTGGAAAATTGCATTTACTTGGATGTATAATTATATGCATAACAGTAAATGAACAATGATAACTATTATTTATCAGTTAGACATGTAGGAATTTGGGACACTTAGGTCGCAAAAAGTGTCCCCCTTCGATACCTACCACTGTCATATCCAGAAGTTGCTCTGGACCTATTAATTAAATGAAATATACATACACCAGGAATACTGGTAAATATATAAATTTGTGGACTGTATATTAAAAATAATAAATGGTTATATATATACACAATTACATAACAGAAGGAAAATATATCTTAATATCACTCACCAATTTGACTGGAGATTAATGTGTATCATACTCAGAAAACCTCACTCTAACTAAATCTATGAAAATAATGCTGGCCAGAATTACACACAAATCTAGAGAGCTTATCTGAGGATCCTGGAGCTGTCTTGTCCAGTCTTCTGATATCTCAAGTTATGCAGGAATGCACATCCACCAATTTCGCCTCCTATTTGAGAGGTGTCAACACAATTTTAACCTCTAGAGCACGAAAAATTCTTCCCATTACACCAACGTTTGTACAAAATTCAAAACCAAGATGGCGAGTCTCGTCTGCACCGACGCAGGCTTTCCGTTTTCTATGACATAAATATTATTAAATACAGTATGGCCATCTATTTACATATAAATACTGAATTTCTGGAAAATATATACAGTATTTTCCACACTGGCTTCCTTACCTTTGTGTTTGTGTAACTAGTCAGTGGTCCAAGTCGGACCAAAATGTCATAAACTTCCTCTATATGCGGATTATTTGTGTACTGAATTTGTAATCGTTAACCCAATTGAGTTCTGTATATATGCTTTTTGGGATAGGTTTAGCTATTTCCTTGTCGGGGGTAGGAAGATCATAACCAAACCCCGAGATCCTATGCTGTTGTGACACTAAAAGTTAAAACACTTTAACTCAACCGTGTTAAAACATAACTGGTATCCAATTTATTGAAAGGATTTACTGTCATTAGCTATTTAAATCACATTTGATAAACTACAAATGGTAGCTACACAAAATAGCAGTACTGTACATGAAAAATATTTTAAATGCATCCATAGTAATTACCTGTTTGTGAGTTAATATTTAATATTAACTGGTCATGGGAAAAAAACTCTTGAAAATGTTTTAAAAGTATAATTTCAAATCCTTTTCCAGAAGGATTTGAAATTATACTTATATGTATAAAATTAAGTGTACCAGAAATACCCGGTGTGTATCACACCAAGTATTTTAAAAATGCTGTGATTATTATATTTAATATTTCCAACGATAAATAATAAACTCTAATTTACCTATGTTTTTAATATGAGAAACCTAAATGCTTAAGTATTATTAAATATGAATAAATAAATAATTTAAATGTTAAATAATAACAGTGCATGTTTCTAGAATAGATTCATACATTCTGGCCCGTGGAATTTCATATCTCCTTGTACTTCTCATGATAACTCCGATATTATATTCCCAGAAATAAGATTTATTAAAGCAGCTACTTAACTTCTTGAATTCGTTTCGTAAATAACCGTGACAGGATATTTTTAACTCATTGTCTTATTAGGTACACATCACTGTGGCAAGTTCCTTTTACCCAACATATGAATACTTCCAGCATGAATGTGGTTTCTCGAGGTTGGTATTCTTGCTCTGGACAGAGCTAACAAGACTCGATTTTTTTCAGTCATTTGCATTGGCACCTCTCGTCGGTGAGCTTGAAAGATATTCTTCATCTCTCCCATTTGGTACCTATTAGTTCTCTTCCTGAACCGGGTCAGAATTACTCATATCTTCAAGAAAATAGTAGGTCTGATGTCAGCAACTATACTCAGTTTGATGTCCAAAATTCTAGAGAAGATACTTTACCGTCAAGTAAAGTATCTTAATGACAAAAACATTCTCCATAGTTTCCAGTCAGGTTTTAGGGGATCTCATTCAACCGACACCTCCCTCATTAATTTGGTGAACTACCTGAGAACTGAAATGTCGCTAGGGAATTTCATAGGAAGGGTAACCTTAGACTTGCAAAAGGCCTTCGATACAGTCAACCACAATATATTATGAAAGAAACTACAAGCTATCGGTATGAGCTCTGAAGAATGGTTTAAGTCCTACCTGAGCAATAGAAACCAAATTGTCAAGATCAACAACACAGGATCAGAACCCATGCCGATATCACGTGGGGTTCCTCAAGGTAGTATTTTGGGTCCTTTGTTATTCTTGTGTTATGCGAATGATATGCCTATCAGTGTCAAATGCAAGCTTTTACTGTACGCAGATGATAGTGATCTCTTAGTATCAGGTAAAGACCCACAAAACACTGCTAATGTACTATCACTAGAACTAGAGTCCTGTAGCAAATGGTTGTTAGACAACAAACTATCGCTACACCTCGGGAAAACATAAGCCATACTCTTTGGCACGAAACAAATTGAAAAGGGTAAATAATTTTAATGTCCAGCGTAATGGGGAGCCCATCATTACAGTAAATTCAGTGAAATATCTGGGAATCCCCTTTGATCCAAGCATGTCAGGAGAACTAATAGGGAACAATGTTGTTAGGTAAGACACATATGCAACAGTTAGGTATCTTTATTTCGAAACGTTTCGCCTACATAGTAGGCTTTTTCAGTCGAGTACGGAAGAGATGTGAGGTGGTCAGTCCCTCAGCTTGGAGAAGAGTATTGTTCCATGTGCAGGCAGTCTGAAACAATTATTTCAGACTGCCTGCACATGTCGAAGCCTGTCATAGCATGAGCCAGTTCAAGAAGAGGCCCAAAATGTACCTTATGAATAAGGCTACAGAAAGGAAGGAGAGTGATTTTTTGTATGATAATAACTAATTTTCCTCTCCCCTAGTATATGTTCTTTTATTGTAACTGCTTTTACATAGTCAAGATGCTTACTTGCTTTTAACTTTTAAATATAAATAATAATTATCACAAGGACCCTAATGGAAAAGTAATTCTGTCCGACTTTTTTGGATTATCCTAGGTTCTCTACACATATGCCGCTATGTATGATAATCATTGTAACTGTGTATACCTGAATAAACTTACTTATTTATTATTATTATTATTAAAGATTCGCCGGTATTCTCCCGGCCCGGGCCTTTTCCAAGTGGTGGCCCGGCCTTGGCTCCTTCTTTAGGGAGTGTCTGAGATCTAAGTCTCCCACGGGAGGAGGCACAAGTACCTCCTCATCTTTGGGACCAACTGTCCCCAGGCCTAGCCACAAGCTAGGCCTCTCTGGTCTGCCATCCCCGTCCCAAGGGGGTTAATGGGAATGGAAGTCTTGTGAGCAAAAAGCTCGGGCTCGGGCACCTACCCTACCCTAGAAGGGCTGGGCATGGTATCGATCTTACTTATTTGTTCATGCTAGGATTGTCATTGACGCGTTTAGACAATTCGTTCCACTTCCCCTGGTACCATACTGGTTTTAATTCCTAACCTTGACAACCTGGCAGCGAGATATTCTGGGTACTGCTTATTTATTTATTTATTTATTTTTATTTGGACATGATACATAGTTGTACAAAGAAATATAGTGATTGGGTGTACATGCTAAAAGCCCTTTGTATGCAGAGCATTATGGGCAGGCTTAAAAATTTAAGATTAACTAGCAATGATATATTCAGTGGTAAAAATTACAGTAAACAAATTACAACATGAAGTACGAATGAGTATTTCAAATAAGAAGCATTATAGTAACAAAATTGTAGCATAACAATGTATAATATAATCCGATCAAATCGAATAAAATCAATGATTTTTAGTGCAGAAACAGGTCATATGGTCATTAGATGAGTTACTGTGCATTCAAAAGAATGGAGTATTCTGTTAGGTAATGTAATTAAAAAAAAAGCATAGTTTGATAGGGTCGCAGGTTATACATTTATGAGATACAGTTATTCAGTATTTATTTAGTTATGGGTAAGTGTGAGCAATTTTAAGAACATGATTTAGCTTCTTTTGCTTTACTCTGTCATCAACATAGTTTAAAAACCTCAAAGTATGGATAGCATTTCGGGAAAATATGTTAGCCGACTGTTGTGGGGTCGCAACTTTGGGAAGAGACTTAAGGAACCAACGGAAATAAGCCAGTCTGATGACAATAGTATAGTTGGGTCTAACTCTAAGGGTTAATAACCCGTGTTACATTTTCATAGAAAACGTATCACTCGTTGAACAGAGAGCACGAAAACCATATGATGAGGAGTAGCATAGAGAAACTTTTATGAATGCAGCAAATGTATTTTTTTCACAAGCAGTCCGGTAAATATTGAGTTTAGGGTCTCTAAAACTCAATATTTCTCAGTTCCTATATTCTAATCTTACAGGACAAGTGCATTTACCCTACCTTAGGTCAGTATTATTTGACTCAAGGAATATCTTTAAGATGTGGTACACAACCCTCTAAATGAAATTCATAACGGTCTATTCACGCTGAGATATTTTATTTACTGGTAGGTGAACAGAGACAGTAGGTGTAAGAAGACTTGCCCATACGTCCTGCCGCGACCAACATTCGAGCCCAGGACATTTTGGTCGAGTCATAAGTTGGTTGGTTGGTAAATGGAGCTGAAATCGATCGGCTATACTGGGGTCATTAAGGCTACACTGTAACCATTACACCACCAGACAGGAATACTTTTATCTAAAACTAGGATTAAAATAAACCCCTCAGGATATGTGATTGCGCTGAGTCATGTACTTACCGGCCTGATGTATTTGTTAAATTGTTCGTTTTTAGTTTGTATATTAAGTTTTTCTCATATATACGTTCTGTTGTAATGTTAACCTAGTTTTTATTTTTGTTAGTATTTTATTTTTTTTAACTCAGGTTTAATGTTTCTTAATGTTTTGAGGATTCTTATTTATCTGTTTGCCCAGTGTTCTTGTTTAATTGCGACTGCCTTAACATTGTCTGATTTTTTACTCTAAAAAAAATACCCATTTTCTTTTTTCATATCTTCGTTATTGATTAGTTATACGTATATGCTTCTCTGCGCCTTTGCCTGATATTTCAAATGTTTGTTAGATGCATTTTTTGTTTTCATTCTCTGCGTATTTAAGAACTTTCCTTTCTTTTTACTTTGTTTAATTGTGCCTGTCTTTGTTTGTCGGTGGCACAGTTTTTGCAGAGAGCATGGGCAGGCCCTTTATACAAAAGACAGAGCAAAAGTGTCTGGTTCGACCGGAAGTGAAGGTATTTTGGAATAGGGCGGCGCCTTCATAAAAACTCTCGAGTGTCGCGCCGTGGCTAAGAAGCAGGTGTGGGTAGATTAGATGGTTTATAGAGCATGGCAGAGGCCGGGGAGACGAGAGGAAGTACATAATTACCATTGACGATCTTACCGTCTATGTCCACTGAATCCAACAAGTACTCCAATGGTCGCTCTGCTGTGACTCGACATAAGGTCTAACTACCACATTCACAGCTGTTCGTTTTTAAGTGGGCGGACGGGTAAGTCAACGGAAGGCCTTCGTCAGATGACTTAAAGCTTTAGGAGCGGGTTATCATATGACTGAGAACTGCGTCTGGAAACACTTGTCCTCTTTCCTGACGAATCTTACCTAGCCTAACCTCACAGATGTCAAGAGACACACTGCTGTCTATAGTAGCGTACGTCAGATGATGCTTCTGGCCGCACCCCGACCATACGGCCAGCGACTAAGCACCATCGTCTACAGCTGAGCACGCCAGCAGTTGCTAAAGGCATCATGGAGCGGGTTATCTTATGGCAAAGATCACTCAATGCTGGGTAATTTTCCTTACTGAATGTACTAGGACTATCTATGCTAACGATTCCTTTGAGAAACGAAGGTCAGGATAGAAAATCAGGCTGTCTTCCCACTATCTACTTCGGCTCAACTGCCAACAAGAAGAAATGGGTGATGTTGCAGTTTTTGGATTATCTGAAACTAGGTATTACATAAAAATAACTAACAACACTGACAGCACATTTCGTAAAAAAATGCTTAATTTATAATCAAAATCGTTCTTTAAGCATTATTTTAAAATACAAGAATACCGTTCTACGATGCCGCAATGAAAAACATAATGTCAACTGAAGAGGATAAGAGGACTGTTACAGGTGGTCTTCCTACTCTCACCCAGGACTACTACTTCTACTGCCACTATTAAAGATAATATCACACCAATGAACTATTTAACCATTCACACTATCCATCTGAACATTTCCGGACGAGCTAGACACAAAGGGGAACAAATATATTGGCAGCTACTAACTCAGACATATTAACTACAGTAGATAT